ACTTAGCATTTTTAATGCAGTCTCAGAAAAAAACAAAACAAAAATGAAGTAAAGTCCTGCTTCATGCTCTAAAATAAATCTTTCTATCAGCTGGGTGTTTATTTTAAGAAGTATGCCAGTCTGTGTGTGTTTGGGAATCTCTGATAGGGGGTCAGGTCAGCGGCTGGCCCTGAACACGCACAGAAACGCTGATTGGGTTTCGCTGCTGGAAGCAGCCTCTCCAAATGCGACAAAAGAACAAAACAGTGATTGATAAGGATGTGAAATGTGATCCACACGTCTCTCTCCGCAGCTGCTCCATTAGCAGAACCCAGATCAGTATTCCTGCATATACAGTGCGCTGAGGATTCGAGCAAGTGTTGTTTTGTTTATCCTGACGTTGTTGTTATCCCACATGTATTGTATGGCGTATGCAGTACTGCTGCATAAAGATGCATCGTGCACTTTGCATCATTTTGAATAGCATATCGATTATTTAACACTATTCCTCACATTTATGTTTCTATTCCAGAGAATTTTTTTTTCACATCTGAACATTTAAAGCACACACAAATGTTCCTAAATGTACTCTTTATTTTCTCACCAGAAGTATTCCAATATTTCATAAAGTATATAAAGCTTTTTATGCTCTGTATGAAGGTAAATAATTAAAAACTAAATAAACGTAATTCAAATGCATAATATTCACTGGAATTAAATCATAATCCCCTCGCTGTGGTTTCTTGGATTACTGTCAAGCCATCAATACACCAAAATTTTGAGGTTACTTGAGGTTATTAAATTGCATTAGTTGTTTTCACAAAAACTAAAGGAAATTAAGTGTATTGATGTAAATTGATTAACTATGACCAAAATCAGTGCAGCATTTCCTTTTATGTGCAAAAGTGTTTTTCTGTCTATAGAGTTTTTATTAAAATTTTAGTCATGGTTTATTTGAATTATTTTAAACAAAAAATGGGAAATGTTGCCTTGGCAACTAGCTGCAAAAAAATAAGTTAAATTTTTTATTTTATTTAAAAAAAATATTTTAGTTAATGTTTATTTTATTTCAAGTAGTGAAAATAATTGTAATGGTTTTATCTTAAGTTAATTATAATAACCCTGGATTAGCCAACAAAAAATGAAAATATGTATTTTCAAAAATTCCCAAATAGACTAAAAATATCCCCCCAATTTTGTTTTTTTTGCTCCATTTTCCCGGAAGGAAAAGCCTGTAAATTTGAAATGTGTAGATCTGCTATAATTTGACTTTTGGTCAACTTTTAAGACTACACTAGCATATGGACAACCAGCGCAAAAAACAACAACATGACATTAAAGCCACAATTTACATCTTATGGGGTCTCTGCAGAGATTCATTAATCTCAAAACAGCTGGATTGCCTGTAGTTTGACACCACGTTTGCACCACAAGTCTCAGTAAAAGCACAAAGGTGTGTAAATGAAAAATCAGTAACATCTTTAGATGGTGTAGAGGAGCTTTTGTAAAATCTACTTGCGTCAGAATGATTATTATCAAACGGCACTGAATTATTAAGAAAAAACTGAAAACATGGCTGACATCCTAAATCTGCGGGACTCCTGCGTGGCGGATCTTGATGAGGAGTCTTTGTTGCTTTGTGAATCTGCGGGGCATCTACCCAGCGAGGGGTGACGTGGCCCAGCTCGGAGAGCTAAGAAAGCGTGAGCCGGATCAGCTACTGCTGCTAAGGTTACGGCTGATACAGTAAATTCATTGATTCAGTCCACCGTTAGCCGCCCCTCTTGCCAACCCCCCCGCGACGCTCAGTTGTGATGTAAATATTATCTTACAGTCCTCTCCTAAGCGATCACCTTTCTGAGAGAGATTAACATCCGAGCGGGGCAGCTCTATTAAGAGCCCAGTGAGGGGGCGGCTGTGTCTGCTGTCATCTCTCTCTGTGGGTGCCATCTTTCTCCAACCGTTTGTCTTTGCTGACGATGAAGCACTAATGCTGTGTTACAAACTGTAATGTGCAAAGCTGTACCCAAAATTTATTTTTGCCGTATCGGAGCTGGCAGCAGAGTGAGTGAATGCTATTGCTGCTGTTTGCCATGGGTGGAATACAAAAGAGCATATTATTATCTGAGGTGAAGAAAACCCTCCAGGATACATGCCTGCTGATAAATGGAGTTAGTAGCTGAAGGAACCGCTCTCCCCAAAATTCTGCCTTGTATGTATTCCTTTAAAAATGTTAGGAATGGCCTATCAAAAGGCCTGTATACTCAAGGTGTTAAGATTTAAGAAAAAGTTAAATGTTCATATATCATTTATAAAATGTGTAATAAACAGTACTTTACCAAAGTGTCAAGTTGACTTCTCGAATAATTAATATATTTTGTTTAAACATATCATTCGTGATAGATAAAATAATAGTACCATATGAAGGATAAAACTGTTCAGTTGTAATAATGAAACAGTAATAAAGCAATAATATTATTCCTATTAAGTTGTGCTCTATTTGAGATACAAAAAATGTATATGATTTTTTTTTTACATTTTACTGTTGCCTCCAACCACTGTAACACTCTCACTTCTTGTATTAAAGTTGATATTATTTTCTAGTCTTTCTCGCTTTAGGTCTGTTAATGGCACAGTTAGATTTGGCACAACATACACTATGGGTTAAAAGGCTGCATTTATTTGATCAAAAAATGCAGTAAAATCAGTGTTATTGTGAAATTATTATTTAAAAGAACCGTTTTCTGTTCGAATGTCATTTATTCCTGCTATTGTAAAGCTTCATTTTCAGCAGTCATTACTCCAGTCTTCAGTGTCACATGATCCTTCAGAAATCATTGTAATATGCTGATTTGCAGCTCAGTTATTATCTGTACTCAATTATTAATTATGGTTCTTATTATTATCAAAGTTGAAATGTTTTTGAAATAGAAATCAGCATTTATTTATTAGTCATTTTTGATCAATTTAATGCATCCTTTCTGATGAAAAAGGGTATAAATATTTTTTATTATTATTATTTTTTAATGTTTTGAATTGTAGTGTATCATGGTTACCACAAAAAAATGTTTCTTGAACACCAATTTAGCATATTAGAATGATTTCTGAAGGATCATGTAATATTGAAGATTGGAGTAATAAAAATTCAGCTTTGCCCTTACAGGAATAGAAACTTTAAAATATATTAAAATGTAAATAAATTGTAATCATATTTTACAATATTACTAGTTTTAGTGTATTTTTGATAAAATAAATAGAGCTTTGGTGATCATAAGAGACATAAAAGTTAGTTAAAGATGAAAGTGCCTGATAAAACTTTTTTTCTTCACTTTTTTATTTCCTGAATTTGAGTTTTTCATCCGTCTTTGCAACAGTATGAACAACAAAAGATTTGTGTTTCTGGTCAGCTTCTGGTTACAAATTCTGCAGCACAGAGCATAAAAGTTATGAATGAATATTACCATACATCACAGTGATTGTGCAGATATCATGAGCTGGTCTCATTTCCTGTGCAGGTTTTTTTTTTTTTCCAGTTCCACAGAGAAAATAACTCTGGCATCTGATGAATTAGCTTGTGTTGGCAGGAATGTGACAGATTATACTAATGCACGGAAATACATTATATTGCTCAATTATGTCTAATTAACTGCTCAAATGATTCTGAATGGTTATAAATTATTTAATTCAAACAAATATGTAAATCAGAATGCAAAGCTTTTGTTTTCATGTGTTTAGATCGTGCCATTATTCTGGCCAATGCGAACCAAACAAAGTTGATCTGATACATAGAAAACGTTAACGCCTGATCATCACACTGGGTAATGACAAAAAGGAAAGGGATCATGTGATATATATTTGCATGTAGTGATGATTTCTTTCCCAGTCAGCTGTCAGAGATCCACGGAGTGGCAGCACTTGAATAGATTCCTCGTGTGAGATAAGAAAAGATTGTGCCATTCAAGTGGTGACGTCTATCAGCACCATTCAGCATAATGGACTGGTTGGTTTGTTGCCTGGCTGATCACATTCGTTTAATGTCTTTCCCAATCAGACTTCATATTTAAAGAACAACAACAGATGTTTTGTCTTATAACAAGCAAGCCAGGAAACATGCAGGCTTTAGTGGTCATGATTTTATGGTTTTATGGAATGCATCATTTTTATTTTTATTTTTTTGGTCATGATATGCCTTTGACATTGTGTCACATCCCAATGTATCTAGACATGCAGGCTTCCATTTTTTGATTTAATGGCACCAACTGTGCACTGATATGTAATGTCAATTGTCTGGTAATCACTGGCTATGCTTTGAAAGCTTCGCAGAAAAAAAAATGATCAAAGTTGCAGTTGTTTGAACTTGAGTCTCGCTTGACCTGCATGCAGCGCTTCACTCCATAGAGGTCATCATTTACTCACCCTCATGTTGTTCGAAACCTGTGTGAGTTTCTCTCTTCTGGGGAACAATATTTGAAGCTTTATTTTCCTTGCCATTCCAAAGAGCAGACAATAAAGCTTTCAAACTTCAAAAATCAGGTGAAAACATGAAAAAAGCCCATAAAACATGTGTACTATATTCCAAGTGTCCTAAAACCATACAGTATTCTTGTGTGACCAAAATTTAAGTCAGTATTTAATGGAAATCGAATGAATATCTGCTCTAACTCTTCTTGGTGCGTTCATGAGGTTATAAGAGAAGTAGCAATGTTGCCTGATTTGTTACCAGACATGTTCTTTTGAGTCTAACCTTTTCAATTATTTTTTTTTGAGTTTGTTCACAATGATCCATTCACAAATCAGACTGAATGGGTTCTTGAGTAACTGACCAACACTTGAATAACATTGAGTAACACACGTTTTTATGAGAGCTGATGCCCTGTGATTTTTAATAATGGGTAACAGTGACTGCTTCTATGTGGCTTCTCAGTTCTCCTTAAAAGATGAGTATTGCTTCAGGTTTTTGATGAAATTGAAAAAATAATACAATATGAAAACAGAAACATCTCTCTTTTTTCCCTCTACAGATCAATCGTGCGCCGAGTTTTGGGACAGATCAAAAGATTGATTACGACATGAAGAAGGGGGTTTTGCTCAACGCCCTGAAACTGCTCAACATCAGGTATGAAGCAATACTCTCTCCAGAGTCCCATTAGAAAGAGAAAGAAAGAGTTAATCAGAAAACTCACTCTCCATTCCCAGCTGTCCACCAGTCTTTAGTGTTTTAGAAAATATTGGTTCCTTGATCTCCACTAATGGCGCTTTTCCACTGCGTGGTACGAATTGGCTCGGCACGGCTCAGTACGACACGGCTCGGCTCGGTTTGCGTTTCCACTGCAGTTTAGTACCGCTTTAGAGTGGGCGGGATTATTCACATGTCGTTATAGTTGTGCCGCCTCTACTGCCGAAAACTTTACTCCTGAAAATCTTTTTCATTCCGGCTCGCCCCATCAAACTCTCGCTGGATCCGCTCCTCTGCTATAAACAAGAGGAATGTCTGTACTTTCTCAACAGACAACGAAACAACCACTTTTTGGCTGTTAAAAAAAGGTGCGCTCGTTCAAAACAGTTGCGTTCGATCCTTCGCTGGCTGTGCGGATTTAAATCTAGCGGTTCTGTTGTGTTTGTGTCGCAAGTTCAGTGACGCAGGTAGTGACGATTCTCTCCGGCCAATCCATGATCAGCAGAGTTTACATGTCACGTTTTGGTAACGGTATGGTTCACTTGGAACCTCAACCAAGGTGGTACTAAAAAAAGTACCAGGTACCATGTACTGTACCCAGTGGAAACCCCCCCAAAAGTGAACTGTACCGAGCCGTACCGTGCCGTACCATGCAGTGGAAAAGCGCCATAAGAAGTTACTTGAAACTCTTTGATGGGTCCTCATGCACTTGTTTTGTATATGCTACTGTTTGATTAGAAAGAAGAATTTTTGGACACTTAAGCCACTCTTGAAAATATCTGAAGGTCACATATCTAAACAAGTGGCATCTTCAAACAAATAGTGCCATAATTTTTTAACACCATATCACCTGTTTTGTAATTTGAAACCTTAAACTGACTTAAAACAATATCGCTTGCTTCATTTTGTTTTGGAAATGCTGTATTTGTGTTTGAGTTTAAAGAAGTATTCTTGGTTGATGGGGATAGTTCACCCAAAAATGACAACTTGCTGTTAATTTACTAACCCTCAGGCCATCCAAGATGTAGGTGACTTTTTTCTTCAGTAGAACAGTAAATAAGAGTTTTAAGGTGAAACCATGGATCATGGTGATTCATACACTTCACGTCTGTGGCTGCTGGTTCTTGAGAGTAAAAAACAAACCATATACATACAAGACCAAATTAATTCCCGTGGTTCCTGATGATACATTGAGGTCTTATGAAGTGAAATGATCGGTCTCTGCAAGAAGAATAAGAAAATGCACATTATTTACAACATTACAGCTTGGGCAAATGGTTCTCAGTGCGTTCACAGCTATCTGGACTGCGAACGTCCTCTGTCACATAATGACATATGTGTGGCCGCATATTAATTTGTTCTTGTCTGTATATGTTTTTTGGACTCTCAAAAACTGGCAATCACAGACGTGCAGTGCATGAATCGCCAAGGACATCGCTTTCACCTAAAAACTTCTTTACTGTTCTACTAAAGAAAAAAAGTCACCTATATCTTGGATGGCCTGAGGGTGAGTAAATTAACAGCGGTAATGAGATGAGTTGAAACATATAGATATAGCAAGGTGAGTAAATGGTTTAATCCCACTATTCTCAGATATTTATGGTCTTATGGCTATAATTTTGAACTAATTGAATATTTTTATTTAAATGTTTATTGCTGTGCTGTATGATCACCCAGTACACTTCATTTGTATGTTTCATTAACTTATTACTGTGAATACTGAGTGTACTGATACAATTTGTTTTCAAACTGCTTTCTATTATTGTATTGTATTTAACTTCAAATGTTCCTAAACTGTATGTTTATGTGTGAGGATTGTGTCTTTTTGTGGGAATGTTGTGTATGTTCGCTTGTGCATGCTTCCTGAGTTTGTGTGACTGCCTGTGTACATCTGTGCGTGTCGTTATATGTCAGTATGCGGGGTTTCCGGTGATTGATTATCATAGACCTGGCCTTCAAATCCCAGGTCCACCTTTTGTACTAAATATACCAGAGTGGCCCAACAATGGTCCTAGAGTAGGAAACAACAGCAGACAAACTCAATCGAGCAGTGGATCAGATTTCAGGATGCATTGCTGCCATTCTGTCACAGTGATTTTCTTGGAATTCTCCACAGACGTTTACTCTGTCCCAACTGATCCAGCTGAGTTCTTACCAGTAACAAATCAAACGACTCCTGTGTGATTTCCCCGGCAGTGGCAGGACAAAACCAATAACTCAGCAACAAGAACTCAGAAGTGTGAAAGTCGTATCAATAAAATGAGAGGCTTCCCCGGTGGTTCAGGAGCCCACTGACCCTGAATGGCCACTTCCAACAGCAAATTTGAAAGGCCAGTGAGCGATGAAATCTTAAAGTGCTGAATGCTGTCAAGTCGAGTGATGTATGTAGTCTCAGAGTCTGTCAGGATTTCGGCTGGGAGCTTGGGCTACTTTGAGTGCTATTACTTGAGCATTTCCTTTTTTTTTTTACGCAGAGCCAGTGATAAACGACGGAATTTAGCCCAGCAGAAGGCGGAAGCCCAGCGACGACTGTACGGACAGGGATCAGTGCGGAAATTGACGGCCGGATCATCAGAATGGGAGAAACAACGTCACCTACTAGAGCGCAGGAGAGAAGAGCTGGTGAGGCCTGTTCAGCAGTAAAAAAACATAATTTTATTAAGTCACATTTAAGTAATGAAGCCAAATAACGTTTTGATGTTGGAGCCATGGATTAGCAGTTTTGTGCACTTGCTCCAGATTTGTTGAGCCTTCGTGCTCATATGGAAAATGAAAATGTGGGGGTGTGTGGGGGGGGGCCTGGCCTGGCCATGCCACCTCTGTCAGTTTGCCCCCTCACCTTTGGTGCCATCTACAGAGTGGGCGCCCTGATTTTAGTCTGTGAGGCAGGCTACTGCCCTGGGAAGATCTCCCACTCAGAAATACGACATGGGGAGTGGGTGGGTGTGTGTGATTAAAATCTAAATGTTTTCATTTCAGTTCGTTCTTAGCAAAAAAAAAAAATCATTCAGTTTCCAGAGTGAAATAAGAATGGAACAGTGTTCACTTTACAAATAATTCTAATAATCTTTGCTAATATTCTTGAATTTTCAAACTGCTAATACTTTGCACTTTGCAGTTTCAAGTTATGCCTTTACTGTATGACCAAAAATGACAGAGTATTTTATGTTTCAGCTGATTGCAGCGCTAGTACCTATTTGAAAGGGAATTCAGATCTAAAATCTGAATATAAAAAAATATAAATATAATAAAAAGAAAAAATATTTAAAAAGCGGGTCGGGTCCCTCTGCTGCTGAGGTACGGCGGAAACTCGGCTTGTGGGGATCGCAGGTTAAGCTCGCGGAAAAGTTTGAGAAAGGTATGGATTTTTCAAAGACTTCTGCTGCGAGCTCTAGCGCGCTACGGGATCCAGACGCTCTGTCATTGGAGTCATCTGATCCTGATAGCACGCCTACTCATAGTGACGAAAATAAAGAGGTTGATGTGGTTGGTGATGATGATGAGAGTGTGAGCACCGAGTCGTCATTGGCCATTCCCAGCCGCGCATACGGGGAATGTTGGATCTGATGAATCGTGCCACTAAGGGGCTCGATCTGGTCTGGATGAGTCAGAAGCCGAAGCCAGCTCGCGGCCGACTAGATGAGCGTTTTTTGACTGGTCTTGATCGTCCCGCCCCCGGGAGTCTTCCGTTTCTCCCAGATCTCCACTCGGAGATATCTAAATCCTGGGGAAAACCGTATTCCTTTTCGGCTGCATCTCTTTCAACATGCAGATTATGCTAATGTTGAGGGTGTAGCCGAGCGTGGATACGCGTGGATGCCCCCTGTTGAACAGACGTTTGCGAGCTATCTCTCGCAGGGTGAGTCATCCTCTTTGAAGACTCCTGCCTTGCCATCAGTAGCGCTTCAGACCACCTCGCGCCTGAATGGCAGGGCGTATGAGGCAGCAGGACGGTCTGCTTGCGCTGACTGGGCTTTTTGGCACTTCCGTTGAGGCGGTTGTGGAGAAGTTCAGGGAGGCGAAAGCACAATCGGCTGCCTTCAGGAAAATAATTCCCCGGTGCTCCAAATCCTCTTCTAAGGGGGATGATCGGTCTAGAGCTGAGGCTCATAGACAACATCAAAAGTCTAGCGTCTCTAACCGCACCCCTCCTCCCTCTAGGAGTCAGCGGGGAAAGCCTACCGCTAACAAGGGAAGAGACTATCTCAGGAACGTGCTGAATAGGAGGCGCGGTCATCCTCTTCGTCCCGAGCTTGGCACTTCCTGATCATCTTTTTCCCTCAATCCCCCCCCCTTCCTTGTGTTATTGGCCACTGCTTACATCAGACTCTGACAGTTGCGGTGAGCCCTCTCCTGGAGTGGTCCCATTTCCTAGAGTCTAGCTATCTGAGGATAGCTATGTGCTAGCTCAGTGATTGCTCCCCTGCTTAGGGTTTTAAGTAGCGGTCTTTTGAACCCTTATCTAGACAGTGTTGTCTCCCCTCTTGGGGTCGTAAGTAGACAGCCCACTCTTTGTGGTCTGGGTAGTTTTTCAGTCGGTTCCCCCTTTTGGTAACCCTTCCGAGGTATATAGCTATCTGAGGATATCTATGTGCTAGCTCAGTGACTGCTCCCCTTCTTAGGGTCTTTAAGTAGCAGTCTCTTTGATCCCTTGCCTGGACAGTGCTATCTCCCCTGCTAAGGTAGTAAGTAGATAGCCCACTCTCTGTGGTCTGGGCAGCTCTGTAGGAAGGCTATCTTGCTATGTTATTCTGTTCCTCATGCCTTCATAAGACCTTAGGGACATTGCTATATGAGGATAGCAGTGTTCCAGCTCAGCGGTTACTCTTTTTTGGGATCTCTGAGCTCCTCTGGAGGCTTTCTGTTAGCCTCTTGAGTGGTCTTGTGTATCCAGGCTAGTTATGCTCATATAGCATAGCTATAGGATGTTCTCCTTGATCTATTTGGGTTCCCCCGTTTTTTTCCAAGTTGCGGGAGCAGCCCGTGGTGTCAGTGGCATGGTCACTTTCTGAGGACAGGCTTGGCATATGTATGTCGCTTCCTTGGTGCTCCTCCACCAGGTGGACAGGCATGTGCCTCGGCATGGCGTGGTTGGATTTCGTTCCCCAATGTGCCCCCTCTCAAGGAACCATGGTTACATGTGTAACCCGAGACGCTTCCCTTCTAGGGAACTCCACACTGCGCCCCCTTGCCATGAGGCCTCAACAGGAGTCTAACTATGTTCTTATTCAGTCCAGCATCCAAGGAGGCTCAAAAAGAGCCTAACACCCAGAGCTAACTGGCCCGTGAAGCTCTGCAGAGTGGAGGCCTAAATACAACACCTCTTAAAATGAGAGGCGGCTTAGCAACACTCCATACTAAGGTCAGTAGCCAAGGAGGCTCCCAGAGAGCCTAACAACCTAGCATACTACCCTACCTCCTAGCCGAGCTCTAGGAGTGGAGGAGCATGATGACTCTCTAAAACGAGAGGAGGCCTAATTACGCCCCACTCTCAGGACATCTTGTAAGGAAGCTCACAGAGAGTCTATGACTCACAGATGCTTTCCTAATCGAGCTCTGGCGAATGGAGGCCTCAATGTAGATAACTCTCTGTAGCGAGAGGAGGCCTGATGACAGTCTCGTGAATGCATCATACCTAGCACATCTAGCTTGATCGTAGAGAAGACAGCATTCCACCCAAAAACGCGTCCCACATCCCTTCGGGAATAGGGACAGCGGGAACGGAGCTTTCATTGAGAAATATTTTCAATGTGCACATTCTGCTCCTTAAAATGTATAATTTATGTTTGTTTTTTTACATATGCAGCAAAAAAAAAAAAAGTAGGCTATTAATCGGTTAAAAAATTCTGTTAAAAATTGGCATCCCAGATAGCAACAGAGTCTGGGCCAATTCTGGCTTCATGCTGGCATTGTTTTTTTCACAGTCTTGTTGGCAAATGTTTGTGATTTTATTTTATTTGTTATGTATGATATGTATGATAGATTCTGACAATCTTTGTCTGTCTTCTTGCATTATTGACAAACTCTTTTCCTGTTTGACACTGTAAAGCTGCTTTGATACAATCAGTATTGTATAAAGCGCTATATAAATAAAGGTGATTTGACCATTAAAACAAAAATCAGGCTCATGTATTTATGACATCAATCGCTTCTACTTTCTTTGTTTAGAAACGGAAGTAACTTAAAATGTTATTTGTGTGTTGTACTAGGGCTGCACGATTAATCGAATGCGATTTTCATGCACATCTTGTCAGTAAAGCCGGTTCTGTAATCAGTAGTAAATCTTTATCACGTGCTTTCAGATGGAGCAGCATTTACTACTGTCACAAATTCAGCCTCTGTGGCTCCCTCCGATCACCACCAGAGGGAACCATCACCGGAGTACTGAGCGATCCCTTCGGACTCCAGTTCCCACAATGCTCCATGCCAGAGTCTAATCACCTGCACAGGTGTTTCCTATTTGCCCGGTCTATTTAAACTGTGCCTTCCCTGCTCTCATTGCGAAGTCTTGTTTTGCCTTGCAGACATTTCTGAGCGTTTACCCTGTGTTGTATACCTGTTGATTACCTGGACTGTTTACCCGTTTACGATTGCTTGCTGCCTACCTATTCTGACCCTGCCTGCCTTGTTGACTCATGCCATTGGTTGTCTGCCGCCTGCCTCGACCCTGATTACGAACACTGTTTATGATTCTGCTGTTCCATCTGAAAGCATGTGAAAATAGCACATTTAATATCATATTTTTACTCCAAACTCACTTCATAACGTCAGTCGAGTGTTTGAAGTAAATCTTTCTGTGAGATGATGTGGCTTCTTACACAGAATAAGGCACGCAACATATTTCGGCTATGTCGATTAGCATTGCATTATTATATACTTTATTATAATAAACATTATAATGCGACGAACTCCGACAAACCATATATTGTCGTAGTCGTGTGTTTATTAGTCAAGTCGAATCAGTGAAAGCAGTTAAATCTTCTGTTTATTCAGCAACTGCTATAGGGATTTCCCGGATTTCGTCTGCAAGGCGTATTTGGAGTTTCAGCGCGAGAGTGCCCTCTGGCCTTCTGATGGAGATTTACTTCTGATCACAGAACCGTGCTTCACTGAAAGATACGCATGACAATCGCAGCTTCTGCCTAATTGCATTTATCACCTTTGCGATTTAATTTCGATTAATCGTGCAGCCCTATGTTGTACTTTTCATATTATTAGTTGCTATATACTGCAAAACTACAGCGCTTCCAGCGCTTTTTTATGGAGCTGTCAACACTGGAAACTCTGACAGCATGCAATCAGTTGTCGAACACCCTATTCATATATAAAACAAAGCCATGTTATTAAATTGTATATATAAAATTATTTGTGTTTGTGTTTTTCCAGATTTATTCGTTGCATCCATTGCATCTGAAAATTACTTTATCAAGCCTACATATCTACACTAGAAGTCTACATAATTTAAATAAATCAGTATTCAGAAACAGGTGCTGTTAAACAGGTGCCGTTATTTTTTTCAAAGTGAATTTGCATTACTTATTTGAAAAAAGTAACTCTTATATTACATTACTAGCTTCTTGAAAAAAGTAATCTGATTACTTAACTTGCATTACATGTAAAGCGTTAACCCCCCGACACTGATAAAAAAGTGGCAAACCACACAAAACTAAAAAAGAAAAAAGATATTTAAGTATTCATATTCTGTAGATGTACAGACAAAGCACGTTTTCGAGAAAGTTCAGTAAGTAGAAGGAGCTTTGTGCACCAGTCCTTGATTGGTCTTTCGATCAACGTTTTATTATATGAAGAGATGAATGAGGTTGAGATGTCTGCAGGTAGGTGGTATTTTCAAAGGGCAAAGCTAGATGCAAAAGAGGAGTGAGATTTGGGGATTGGGGGCTGAACGAATATGCCTGTACCAGCATTTAGCAGAGATCAGTGACTATTATATAAGACACCCTGCTGTGCCACTGCAAATTGACCAGCTGACCTTTCCACAATTATAGTTTTTGATGTATTAAAATGGTACAGTGGGAGTTAAATCTATATGAATTATGAATGGGCCCCCTGTATTAACAAGTGTAGAGGAAAGGCTGTTATTCGCGCCTCCTAACTCTCAGACTTCATTAAGGTGCCTCGTAATATGGGAAACGAGTCATTTGATGCCATTGTTATTCAGTTTTGGGTGGCTAAATTACACTGCAGGATAGCACTAACAGAAACAGGGCTTTATTTCTTTGTTGTTCTTCCTGCTTCTTGCTGCTTATTCACTTGTGTTGTGTTTTCAGAAAGAAAGACTGGCCCAAGTCCGCAAGCAGGTCTCCAGGGATGAGCACGAAAAACGGCACCTGGGGAACTACAGGTAGGGAAGCCGCTTTGACGATTGTTATCCTGTAAGAATGCCCGCTTACACCTGTGGGGTCTCTTGTGGCTTGGTTTGGGATGTGACGGTATGAAACAATTTCTTAGGTTCTCATGTGAGGACAAAACAAGGACAAGAGTTGTTCTAAAACTTTCCACCTTCGTAGGCAGAAAAGGGAGATAGTAAGGCACCAATGCATGTTCGAATCCAGTGTTTGGGCAACATTCTGTTTATTAATATAAGTGAAAATTTATTTGCAGGATTTGTGTTTACATTTGTGCTTTATCCCTGTAAAGACATGTGAAGAAAAGTAATAAAATATTATTAATGAATTTATACATACAAACAGAACATGCATACGTGTAGGTCAAAGCTGAAAATATCCCCCCCCCCAAAAAAATCTGGCATATTTTAGAACCATAATCATTAGATGTCATTAAAAGACTCTAAATAAGGATCGCAGTGCAATCCCCATTGTAATTTGAAATCTTTACCAATATTTGCCACTATTCTTTAAAGCACTAAATTTTGCCAATTTTTTCTGGCAAGATAATTTTTTTAAAGAATTAAAATATAAGAACATTTGGAGTGATCACTTTTTCTTTGATATATTTTTAATAAGTACAGGTCAGAATAAGTATGTTGGTTCATTTTTACATAAATATATGTTATGCTGAATGACGATGGAACATGATTTGACCCATATTTTGCCTTTTTATTTTCACAAAAGTTATTTGAAACATTAAAGTAGACACTTTACTTGCATTTAATATGCTTTCTATGTATATAAAATCACTTTTGTAAAATTTAATTCAATGTGGTCACCAAAATGAGACATCTTGTCTTTGACCCACATACAAGGCCAAACTAAACTATAGACAACATTATTGAAAACATGTAATTAAATAAAAAATTTATTTGCAGGCTTAAATACATTTTTTACCTCAGTTATGACTGGTAGTTTGAGAGCCCTGGCCTAGAAGAACCAAACATTATCAGTATTTTTATATATTATTTCTGTCTGAGATTGCTTGCTTCAGGACATCAAACAACTTCAGGTTGCTACTTTAATGACTTCTAAAGAAGTTTTGTAAAGAAGCCAAATGCATCAGCAGCCAAATGCTTCTTGCTTGTATTACGTTTGTCGTTTGTTACATTCAAATTCAGACACTAGGATCTGCCAAACGAAGACCTGCCATTAAGACTTGATTAACCTGACCTCATTACACAAGCATCTTGACTAACCCTTAGTATTTACCATAGAGGGTGGCTTCATCATAGAGAAATTGCAGCATTTAGCATGTGATTTGCTGTGATTTTTCACTTAGAAAAAAATTGAAAATAAAAAATGCGGGCACCTCGTAATTGCTCCTTAATACGGAGCCTCCACATCAGAGCCTCAGAGGAGGAATACGAAACAAATGCCTCTTCCTAAATAGGTCATTTTATGCCTATGCATTTAACTGCTTTTCTGTTCAACTCTAAATAAAAACACCCCAAAAGATGCTGAAACATGAAAAAAAAAAGTGCTTGAGGTTTGTGGGTCAGACCCAGATTTCAACATGTGCCATATGCCGAAGACTAAGCCCACTTACTCTTACTAGATTACTTCTCCCACACAAGTTTGTCCATCATGCTTGTAGCTCTTAATGGATTTGGGGTGGCTTATCGTCTGATCTGAACATTTACATTTACTTGAGCTTTTGATTATGTTGAAGCCGGAATCCAAAAGAGCTGTTTTAAATGTCACACGCCAAGTGACTTTTAGTTTATTAGGCTGAAATGTGGTAATATGGGAGGAAAAACGAGTCGTTTGTGGTCGTGCCCCCATCATTTTGGTCAGTGGTTCTCAAATGGTGGGTCAGACTGTTCTAAAAAAATGAAAGAACAATGCTAAATGCAAAATAAATGCAACGGTAACACTTTAGAATAGGGAACACATATTGACTATTAACTAAGAGTGTTGCCTGAACAAACTCTTAATTTGCTGCTTATTAATAGTTAGTAAGGTAGTTGATAAGTTTAGGTATGGGGTGGATTAAGGGATCTAAAATATGGTCATGCATAATAAGTTATTAATATGTGCTTTATAAGTACTAATAAACAGCCAATATGATAGTAATATGCATGCTAATAAGCAGTGTTGGGAAAGTTACTTTGGAAATGTAAAAGGTTACAGATTACAAGTTACCCTATTTAAAATGTAATAAGTAGTATAACTATTTCAATTACTTTATTAAAGTAATGCAACTGATTACATTTGATTACTTTTTGATTACTTTTCAAAATTTCTAACAAATGTTTTCAAATGTTAATCATTTTGAAACATTAAAAGTAGGCAGGGTTAACCTTGCAGTGGTACTCAACACTCATTACTGTAATGAGGTTAAATACAGATTTAAATCCATAACAAGATATAGTTTAATAGCCATGACACTGTTTTTGAAATCAAATCTTTGCATAGCTATGACAGAAAACACAGGCATTAATCTTAAAAAAAAAAGCAAATACATAAACCCAAATAGGAAATAAAATCGTATAACGTATTATCGTATAACGTGTCCTATTCTGTCTCCTGAACTCCTGAAACATTGGTGTCTCATATTTTAGAGCAGTCAATGCAATTTGGGAAATGAATCAATTAAATCTGTATGTGGGTGTGTGTGAAAATATTCAAATGTAACCCCTTTGTAATCTTTAAAATTTTCATAAGTAACTGTAATTTAATTACACATTTTTTCTCAGTAACTGTAACTGATTACATTACATTTATTTTGAAATTAAATTACGTAATTCCTTTACATGCAACTAGTTACTCCCCAACACTGCTAATAAGCAACTAATTAATAGCGAGAATTGGTCCTTAAAATAAAGTGTTACCAATGCAACTAACCGTAAAATGTGTTAAGATATGATTGCAAAATAAATAAATAGTCTTATTACACAGTTTTCTGGAATACTTGATGCTGATTGGTCAAATGCTGCATTCTGCAGTCAAATATTCTCGATTTATTTATTTGGTAAGTAGTCAGCATTAATAAGCAGGATACTTCTTGCATTCTGACAATCACTATTGCGAAATAAACCGCTTCAGGATGGTGTAATCCAACTGTACGGTATTTTGGCACAAATACATTTATCACTGGTTAAACATCTAAAACGAATACAATATTAAGCCCATTGTTTGTGTTCAAATGCTTTTTTCTTCAAGAATGGACATATCTTTTTCAAGTCAGTTACATAAAAACATAAATTGTTCTAATTTGAATCCAAAACGTAAGATTGATTACACTTTGAATAACTGCTAGTTGGTCAGACTAGTTCTTAAAAACACTCAGTCTTAATGCACAATCTTAACAGTTTTTTTTATATTCAGTGTATCATGTGGCATCTTATGTGTAATTCATGGTAATATGGTAGCACTTTACAACAAGGTTTGTTTCATTAACATTAGATCACTACAGTTAACAGGAACTAACAATGAAAAATACTTCTAAAGCAATTTTTAATCTTAGTTAATGTTATTTTCAGCATTTATCAACATTTAGTTCAACAGTACATTATTATCAATCAAAAGTTATATCTGGTCATATCATTAATGGACCTGAGCTAACATGAACTAACAATGAAAAGTTGTGGTTTTGGTCACCCTTTAGTTTGGGGATCAAATCTCACTATTAACTAACTATTAACTATGACTTTTGCCTCAATAAACTCTTAATTTGCCACTTATTAGTAGTAAGTTAGTTGTTAAGTTTAGCTATGGGGTAGTGTTAAAGGGATCTAAAATATGGTCATGCAGAATAAGGCATTAATGTGTGCTTTATGAGTACTAATAAACAGCCAATATGCTAGTAAAATGCATGCTAATAAGCAACTAGTTAATAGTGAGAATTGGTCCCTAAACTAAAGTGTTACCGTGTTTTTATTAACTAAAAAATATAATGTTCATTGCTGAAATGTAAATTGTTACCAGTAATATTAATACATTTCAGGGCTTTGTTTGCATAATCTTGATACTGTAGCAGCCAGCCATCTGATGTCTGAAGTAAAATCTGGGTCCTGAAGCACAGCCAGTTGCTGGTTTTGATTATATCCCTGACCCAATATGGCACTGATCTGAAGATTCATCACACAGATATAGACAAAGGTTTACACGTCTCTGGCTTTTGTTTAGTCTTAACGTCTAATATAAAGACACGTTAATTAATCATTAATATATACACAGCATTAATGGACAAATGCATGTGTGAAAAGAACTGAGGTTTGTTTAAGTGATTAGAAAAGCATGCAGACCAGGCCGTTAAATCAGATAATCAGATAAAGCTCTCTCTCTCTCTCTCCCTCTCTCCGTACAGATGTATTTACCCCCCAGATGACAAGCTGCTCTTGGAGAAATATGAGAGTCTCCTTTCAGCTGCCTTTCAGACATTCCTCGCTGGGCGAGCAGCTTCACTTCAAAAGGAAATTAATAATCCACTGAAACGAATGAAGGCATGTATCTGAGATGCAACCAGACAATCTTTTGCTCTTTTTCCTTCTTTTTATTCTCCCTACTACTTCTTTCTACTACTTATTCTTTTGCATTTAAAATAAGAATTGCGGAAGTGTATTTTACTTCCTAACTCTTGTTGTGGCCATCTGTTTTTCGTTAGTGTAGTTGAAGGCAACCATCAGTATCTTTCATGAGCTACAGACATGAATGATACCTCAAATCATGTGGTTTGTTGTGGAGAGGGGTGCTGTTACTATAAGACTTTTGCCTAGTAGATGGTAAATCTAGCCCATTGACTGACTGTGATGGCCATACAGAATCTAGACCATCAGTGTTGAGAAAGCTATTTGGAAAATGTTGGTTTTCAAACTACCAGCTTCTCATGATTTAAGATTTTAACTATAGCAGGGCTTGCAACATTTCAAAATCCCTAGTAGCCCTTCGGGCAAGCATTCTTCAGATTTTGGTAGCCCAAAAATTAATTTAACTAGCCCAAATAAAAGATATTGTATTTTTTCTTCAAATAACAAGTCAAGAGATTAGGGCTGCAACGGATCACAAATCTCACAGTTCAGATTATATTACATTATCATATCACATTTTGAGTCACACATTTTTCAGATGAGCAAAAAAAACATGGTTCTTTATTATTTAAGTAACACCTATTATTTAAAGAACAATTTACTACTTCGATACCACAGCAAAAACTAGTAGCATATAGGGATGTAACGATTCACTCAACTCACGATGCGATATAATTCACGATACTGATTTCACAATACAATTTTCTCACAATATCTTTTTTAACAAAATTAGATTTAAGACAGATTTAAAAAATGTGTCCTTTTGTTATTTCTCAGACCAAAAGGCTGCACATTAATTTGTGAAATTGAAAATGCCAAACAATATACTAACTTAAAATTTAAAATCAAATAAATAAATAATACAAATAAAAGAAATTTCTCCATGCAAGTAAACTGTTTTGCCTGTGTATTTTAATCACAATCCAAACAAAGATGCTGCATACATGTTATTTAGATTGTGAAATTTGAAACAAAAACAAAATTGTCTGATTTTAGCTTTGTGATACTACATAAAAAATATGGACGAAACAAAAACAGCAGATGGGCTGAATGAGACTCAAATGTCACTCTCTGACAGCAGGTGGCGCTTAAACAGCAGGTATTTATATGCTGCTGCCCCTTTAAGACCGAATGCACGGATCCAATATAATAATGCACGTGCAATTTCTTTCTCCACTGTTTACGTTCATTTAAGACATGAAAATACTTGCAGAGATAGTTATTTTGAGATAATTTTGCGTGTATGTGTCCATTCAAACGAAAGAGGAATCAATTCTGTGTTCGTGCTCTGCCTGAAACGCCGTTCTGTTTCTGCGCACTTTGAGCGTGTGTACGCGAGCACCGAGCTGAATTCTTCATGCACATGAATGGTTTAAAACTCTTGCATGTTTAAATTGGTAAGACTTAGAAACACGTGTAAATGATAAACTATGATCCGTTTCACTCCTACAAGTGAGTGAACAACGCGAATCAAGGAAGGGATTTTTATATCACTATTCAAGATAGCCCGTCGGGCAGGGCAGTGATACATTTTGGTAGCCCGACTGGAAAACACAATAGCCCCGGGACGTCGGGTTAGCGATTTTGCAAGCCCTGTATAGTCAAGCTAGCTTTTTTGAAAAAGTAGTTTGCGACACTACAAGATACAAAAAACAAAACAAAAAAACATTGCCAGATACACTGAATACAGCCAACTACAGTTGAATTTGTCTGGTACAAAACAGCGAGGATCTATAGAAATCCTCAATAAAAAATCGAAATATTAAATAAAATTTAAAATAAGAATAAAGTCACATTGTGAAATATAAAGTTGCATTTGCAAGATATAAATACACAGTTGAAAAGTAAACTGCCTTTCCACTCCACTTCCATCTAAAACAAACGGTAAGCAGCAGACTGGAAGTTATTAATTTCCAATGGAGAATAATACGACCGTATGTGTATGCAGAAATTTCACCTTCGTTTTGAGTTTTGGATGCTCTGAAATATTTAAACTTCTGCATCTAAACTGTACACAACCATCCGATATGAAACTGTGAACGTGAGGTCAGAATTACCAGTATTTTTCCACTGAAGCGATATTCTTTAAATACTCTTTTCTGTAAAATGCCAGTTATGAATAATTCTTTTATAAATATTAAAGAATTACTTATGTGGATTAGCTCTAGAAAACCTACTGTTTTTCTTTCAAATTTATTGGGTGTCATTTGTTTTGCTGGATATATTCATGCATTATATTCAATCATTCATTCAAATCATTCATTTTACCATGGTACATAAGAGGAGGGTGACAGTTCATGACTGATTTGAAAGTTCCATGTGAAATGCAACAATCGTATGCAAATGTCAGAGGCAGTGGAAAGGCTTAAAATCTAAAATTGTAATTATGAGAAATGTCACAATTGTGAGATATAAAGTCTGAGAAATATAAAAACCTTTTATAAAATCTAAAGTCAGTTGTGGGAAATTAAGTTGCAATTGTGAGATAAAATGTTGCAGTTTCTTTAGGCAGAAATGGATTTCAGTAAGGATCTCGATGAGGGTGACAGCATGAAACCATATTTAACCAGACTGATTTACTCTAAAAATAACAATGTATGTAACTGACCTAAAACTTTACCATTTGCCTAAATATGTTATTTTGTAAATACATATTATACATGAATACATTTTGTAATATTAAATATATACAGTAATAATGCCGTACAATTGAAGAGTTCAGATGCAAAAGCCTCTTAAGTGGCATCTGAAATTTTCCTCTAAAATTAGCATTTTTATCAGGCTCCTTTGTTTAGGTTCAGTCATTTTACTTTAATGACAATGTATAGGTCATTTTCTATGCCATTAAAGTGAAATAAATAAACTAATGTATGTAACTGACCTAAAACTTTACCATTTGCCTAAATATGTTATTTTGTAAATACATATTATACATGAATACATTTTGTAATATTAAATATATACAGTAATAATGCCGTACAATTGAAGAGTTCAGATGCAAAAGCCTCTAAGTGGCATCTGAAATTTTCCTCTAAAATTAGCATTTTTATCAGGCTCCTTTGTTTAGGTTCAGTCATTTTACTTTAATGACAATGTATAGGTCATTTTCTATGCCATTAAAGTGAAATAAATAAACATAAATATAGGAGCCTGATAAAAATGCTAATTTTAGAAGAAAATTTCAGTCGGCACTTAGAGGCATTTGCATCTGAACTCTTAAATTGTTTATGCGGGAATTAAAATCCAGAGAAAAAAAAATTTAATTATGTAATATTTTAAAAGCTTTATTAGCTTTAAATACAAATCATCCCACTGCATTTCTGAGCAGTTTCTCTTTTTTTATGAAAGCGCCTGTTCTAAGATTCTCTATTCAGCTGGAGTTCATTATTGTGCTGCGCAACCTCTCTGAAACCTCTGGATGTTCTTTTTAAAGGGATTTTCAAGGCCGGATCTGTGTACCCATGCATATGAATGAGGCATATTGTTGGAAGGGTTCCGTCCTCATAGCACACATTGATGGAGTCTGAAATCTGACTTCGGAGTGGGGTTGCGCATGAGTTTGAATGGAGATGGTTGTTAGGCAGGTTGTAGGTTTGAGCCGGGAGCCGTCTGGTGATGTGGCAGGGGAGCGTGTGAGCCGTTTCCTACGGCGCTAGTGTCTGGCTTATTTGGGAAAGATTCAAGAGCACAGAGTTTGTGCCATTGCCATGTGGTCTTTGACCTTCCTGTCCGTCAGTTTGTTAATGTCGCTTCAGTCTTTCAGCAACCCTGAGCTTTTAACATTAGTCTACGGTCTGTCTACACCTCACAAATTTACAAAGAGTTGGGAAAATTACTCAAAATAAGTCATTAGTATTACTAATTGCTAATTACTTTTTCTAGTTTTTTATGGGAATTCTTTACTAATTGCTCTGTCTAAACAATAATCACATTACGCTATACTCTGTTCTTACTGTTGCTGCCAAAATGTCTTGTTCCAAAATTACTGGATCACAATCACTGGCCAAATAGCCTATGTGATGTTTGGAAACCTGACCTACTCCATCATGTTTGAGTAAAATGAGAGAGCAGGATAAATACTCCTAAACACTAGAAGAACTAGCAACAAGAGTAAACTGTGCTGAATCTGTGTGTAGCGCTTGTCGCTCTGTATATTCTTAAGGATACGCTCATTACAAACGAGTGGCTGCAGTTTATTCTTAAGGACCCTGATCATTTCAGTCTGATCTTAACAGTACGAGAGACGTTTCAGCTTGGATTGTTTTTTTAGCTGTCACGATGTAATGCAGGCGGTGCAAAAAGGCTGTTTTTGAAAGATAGGCAGCACGAACTGGACCCGAGAGCAAGCTCACAGCTCGCAGCAAAGAACTGTTACTCATTTCACATGCAAAGGCGCATTTACATCTTAAAAGCACAGCAGCAAAAAGGGCCCGTTTAAAGCCAAGGGTCACAGAAAGGGTGGAAAATGCTCATGAAAAACTAAATTATGTCACAAAAAATTCTTATACTGTTTTTTTGGGTGGGAACAGGTCTGCTGATGACTATTTAGTTAATTTAATCTTATAGAACATTGCTCTGTTGTTTCCATGCTTTCCACATCCGCAAAAAGCACTCAGTAAAACATTAACAATGGCAAATTTCATAACAATCTAATGGTAGCAAACACTGACAAATATTGACTCGTCACTTACAGTCAGTGTGAGGTTTTTCTGGCCTTTTTTTTCTCTTCACCGACTGCTTGAACAATGAGCCTTACTCTGTATTTGGGGAAGAATGGAAGGTGGCAATGAGCAAAAGAACAGATTTTAATGCACTTAAAATCTCTCTCCATCTGAGCCAGAACAACAGATCAATGCCTGGCTTATTGAGTTACAGCTGGGATAATGTTTCTGCTTGAAAAGCATGCGACATCCGTGAAACACAGATCTCAGTAACACAGAAACACAGTAAAAAGAAAATATGTTGAAGCAAATTCAGAACTATACTGAATTCAATATTGATTCAATAAATTCTTGAGAGTGTGATGATTCAATATTCACCCAAATAGATTTATTGTTTAATATACAGCTGAAAGTGGAAGTGAAATACATAATTTAAAGACCACTGGAATTATTGATACTTTTTTATGAAAATAAATAATTGGAATCAGCATTATTAATCATACTGAATCATACTGATAATGAGTTTTACAGTGTTTAAATTAACTGGTGTTGCTTGCCTGAACCATTAATTGTAATTCTTAAAATATAATGGAAAATTAATTAGCCATGTAATCTGTAATACAAGGAAAATGTAATTTTACAGTGACCCCATACTTCAAAGTCAACAACAGAGTACTTTATTTGAAAGAAATGACAAGAAGAATTCTACATAGATTATGATGTTCCAGATTCAAAGTGTGGTTCAGATACAGTGACTTGCAAGGAGGAATGAGGTTGATTCATATTCTAGATGGATTTCTGAACTTGGGCTAAACACATGGCTTTGATTTATGCCAAGAAATAGTTTTGGTGTCATGCAACGTGCTGTTTGGATTTAGAATTTTTTCCAGAAATTACTCAATTTGATTACTCATAGTTTAGACAAGATAATAACGTGTTTAAAATATTTTGGAATTAGGAGTCCTCACTAAAATTACATTATGTGTTTGTTCCTGATTTTGCAAAGAATGAGTTAGCATATGATAGGAAAATAGCAAAAAAATGTAATCCATATGCAAATTGATATATTTTTAACAATATTTTGATTGTTAAAAGTAATCACCAATATATATATCAATATGCACTAATTTATCAACACATAGTAATAGACAGTTACTTCAGGGAATGCATTAAAACAAATGTCCAATCAATGTTTTTATTCAATTCAGTCAAACGCACAGTTTGAACTGATTCATGGACGTAAATCAAACTTCCCAATACTCCTGAAGCTTAAATGAAAGATGCTATTGAAACCTCTCTGTCTTAACTCTCTTACACTCTCTCAGTCACAAAACAAGGAATGAAGTTAACTTGCACTTCACTTATTTTCTTTTGACATTCAGTAAAATCACCAGTGAGGTGCAAAAGTGTACTAAGTACATATCCACAAGAAAATGTTATGTGAAAAATGAAGACTGTCTTCTGCTTTTGTTGGTGACGTGTTCTGCAGGAGGAAGATATCCTAGACCTCCTGGAGCAGTGTGAACTGGATGATGAGAAACTGATGGGAAAAAACTCCAAACAGAAAGGACCTAAGGTACACTGCATACACTCCAATATATACAGATATCTAGATATACTGTAGGTAAACAAAGACATTCATATTCATATTTTTCCTATTAATTTTCTCTTGATTGAAAAGAGTTCTCTTGAGTTCTAAGCCATGAACCAAACTAAACCAAAAAAAAAAAAAAAAAAAACAGATCTGAAGCAAATTTTTTTACTTTTATGCATTTTAACCCATAATCTTGGCATTTACAGTTAGAGCTACAGGAATACAATTCTTTGAGACTGTACTTTTATAATATCTTGTAAGAGGCAATGAATTTTGTATTCCATCTCATGCATTATGACCTAATCAAATCAAAATCATATAATGATGTAGTGCTACTTAGTACAAGTCATTGATTATAAAAAGAAGTATGGAATATAGTATACTTCAAAGTTATTGCAAATATATAAGTAGTTTGAGAATATTGGGAGAGTAATTCGATTGCATCATTCACAGTGATTCACGGGAGTCGGTGGTCATCGCTGAGCACTTTTGCCACTCTCACGGTTCTCTGACTGGTGAAACCACACTGACTTGTGGCTTCACAAAAGAGTATCGCCCAACAAAGGCAAAACGCAGTAACTACAACAACAACAACAATAATGGAGTGTTTTGACAGAGTTTATAAAAATGTTCATACTCCACTCATTCTAGGTCTGTTTTGAAAGTTTTCCTTACAATTCTATGTAACCATGGAGAAAATGAATGGGTTTTGCTTGCTCAACCTATTGGAAATAACATTTTATAGTCCCTTTCTATTTTTGAGGTGAATTATAATCCAGGCATGAGATTTCATGATGAGTTTTCATGAAATTCCCTCATAGTGATGCTACAGACAGTTACAGATACTGTATGGCATGAAATGCTATTAATTGGTTCCCTTTTGACTTAGCAGAATGTAGGTTTCATTTCAGCAGTATCTGCTCTGATGGATTGGAACACTCTAACAGTGCCATTACAGGGCCATCTAGAATAACCTGACTAGACGGAAATTAAGCAATTGAAACAGTCACAAGCAGTTCCTCTTAAATATGCCAAGAAGAGCAGAATCTGGATTCTTTCAAAACTCTGTTGGAGATTGTCAAAAGGGTTAATTTAGACAAGCCTTTGAGCCAAATTGCAGTTGAAAAGGTGAAATTAGTGCATTCAGAAGGCTAATAGTCTGTACTTCCCAAGTGTCGGACAGATATTCGATTCATTGTTCAATACTTCTTGAAGGACATACTAGATTAGTTCCCCTGACATGCAATGTATGTGTTTCAGACCAAATGAACATGTTTCTGCAGTGACATTAATCAAGACTGGGTGCGTCAGGTGTGCATCGCTGCCACCCTTCCATTCTGCCGTCAGTGGCAAGCGTTAATTGGACTCGGGGTGAAAGCTGCAGAAGTGACATTTTTCTAGGATCTTCTCTCATCATCTCTCCCTGCGGGTGTGTTTATGTGTTTGTTTGTCTGTAGGTCCTGTCATCCATGCCTGAGAGCAGCCCAACACCCCGAGGGCACAGGGACCCTGAAGACTCCTCGCCCAGTTGCAGCGACAGCAGCTCTGGTTCCGACGCTGATGGAGAAGATGAGAGCAGCAGCATCATGCAAGAGAAACTCAATCGCCCCGAACGCTCCAGTGAGTTCTGTCCTTGGGTCTATGAAAGAAAGAGGTCTGGGAACCTCTCTTAGCCCTTTTTCCACAGAAAAGGTGCCGGTTTTTCTCAAAATGGCTCCAGTGCCCAATCTGGAACCCTACCAGAGAAACCATAGGTCAGGATAATGTAAAAGTTTAATTTACGCATTACAGACATAATGTTTTCAGAACAACAACAACTCGGATTGCTATTTGACAGGCACCTCATTTCTAAGCACCAGTAACTTTAAAGTAACTTTAAATTTTATGTTGGTCTGAATTTTTTTTAAATATGCATGAAATATATATGCATATATTTTTTGTTTTTGAACATAATGCAGACCATACTTATTTGATAAAAAAAAAATCAGTGAAAACAGTAATACTGTGAAATATTTAAAATAACAGTTTTGTATTATGAAATATATTAAAAAATTTAATTTATTCCTGTGATGGCTAAGCTGAATTTTTTAGCAACCAATTCTTTACTGCCACTTTTGATCAATTTAATTTATCCTTGCTAAGTTTTATTTATTTTGGAAAAATCTTACTGACCCTTACTGACTTCGTATCGTTTTTTAACAACAATAAATTCAGTAAAAAGCCACAAATATAACAATATTTAGCATCCCCCCCAAAAAATTTGACATCTTTTATCATCACAAACTGATTTTGATGCAGCTGTCAGAAGTTACATTCATTGCAATCAGTTTACAGATGTTTTTTTATTTTTATTATCATTATTATTATTTGAACACACTTCACAGTTGCATCAAACTGTTCGATGGTAGAAAACTGTAATGATTGTAATGGGAGTGATCTAGTTTTGTTTTGCGTCAGTGTTGCTGGACTGAGCTGTTGTTTTGAGAACTTTATTTGGCGTAGACATGATCTCACTACTGGACCTCTGACGTTATCTGTTCCTACTTCGAGAACAGTAGGTTGTAGGGGTCTGTTCAGTGGAAAAGCTATTTATCACCTGTGGGCTGGGACTATTAGGGTAGACTGGGAGGTTCTGGGACGTTCTGCAGCTGAACCGCTTTTATAGGTGCTATCTGTCCCTCGATGATTTCCAGATGACTGCAAGAGCAAGCGTATGACTTAAACATTTAAGCAGGCTTTTGTCTAGCCAGACACATTAAATCTTCAGTGCCGTTTGCCGAGCCAGAGCTAAATTACAGATGTAAATCTACCATAATGCATTTGTTTACCTAATTAATACATGAAACAGAGAAAATCCATCTTTTTTAATTAGGGTCACAGTATTGGCTGGCCCAGTGCAGTGGCTCTTAATTTGACTGGCTGACTGCGGCAGGTGATGTCGTGAGAGGTCCCTCGGCTCTCATGCGCTGCAGCTTTAATGAGCTTTTCTGATGTTTCAGTCCACTGGTTTAAAGGGAGACTGGACGCTCAGCTCGGGGAAAGCACAGGTTAGGGAGAAGTTCAGAGGAGCACTTCTGGTGTAGCTTGAAAACTGTGCAAACAAGCCTCGAAAAATGTTTGTTTTAAAGTAAAAATTTTTTTAGAAGCAGAGTGTTCCTTGGAGTCCAGCAGCTCAAACATCCCACGCATAGTCTTTATACTATATATGTACTGTATACAGTAGTTTGTAAGCTGCTCTCACTATTACTCCATGTGACGTTTTAGCAGTGTGGCTCTGATAAGGGATTTTTCACAAATATGGTTAAAAAAAAAAAATATATATATATATATATGTGTATAATTATTATTCTTTTTCAATAAATGGTCATTAAAGGAGTTGCTAAACGTAAAAAAAAAAACTTCAGGACAAAAATGCCATTTTTGCAACCCTCTTACATAAATTAAAGAAATGTCTAAAAACCGTTTAAAACTAAAATGTGTGTAATTTAATCATTTTCTTACTATAAACAATTAACAGACCTATTTAAATTACATTATAATATTTGAAATTAAATAAACACAATTTTATTTATTTATTTATCAATAATAGGATGATAACATGGTTGAATGATTGAGCATGAATTTATTCAACTGTACAATTATGATGGTTGTATAAAAATGTTAAATAAATAAAAAAATCAGTGATACTGTTGACTTCCCTCATTGCACTAAAAGAGTACAAATGCACTTCCTTAACTTGAGTTTCACAGTCTTACGCAATATTTTTAATAGGGGAAAATCATGTTACAGGGTTGTGCACAAAATGTGGGATACAGCTAAATATAATGATTCTGGTAATTAACGTAATTTAATAATTAACAATGCTTTTCCAAAATGATTTTAACAGTTAGTTTTAAACAGCTTAAATCATAATTTTGTTTTAATTATTGGAAACAGGAAAGAAGGTAATAGATTCAGAAAGTGTCAAACTGGGGTGGGACAGGCCAAAATGTTATGCTATGATAATTTTATGTTTATAGTTCAATAATGGAGCACCAGTTTGTACCCTATTTTTGGAAAGTGCCATAGATTGTGCAGTATATTGATTATCCATGCCTGACACAGTGAAAAGCCATGACTAGCTGCTGAAAGAAGGACAAAGCAGCAAGCTGACAGGCTTATTTGGTGTGTGAGGGGCCGCTGGTGATTGGGTTGCTGCCGGAGGGGGCATTGGGCTATTCTGGGGTGACATTGTTTGCCCCCTTTGCCCCATACTACCCTGAGGCCATCTGTGATAGTCCGAGCTAAGCTGCTATAATGCCGCATTTGGCAACTTCTTCCCTCAAGATTCACGGATGAAGCGGTGATGCCGCTGGCTAGCTCACAAACTGGAGGTCATTCAAAATCGTAAATTCGTCTGTATGTGTGTTTCAATTCACTGTCCGCCCTGAGTTGGAAACCTGACAGCCACTCAGGCCTGCAGGATGATCATATGGTGAAGTGATTCATTAAAGCCTTTTTTGTCGGTTTTTAGATTTCAGATGCTAGACTTAATTTCAAAGAGGGTGTGTGAGTGTGTTTTAAATTGAAGTCAAATGCTTTGGTTCTTTGTTTTAGGTCGTGTTCACTGGAAACCTGCCCCTAAACCAATGCGAGGTCCTTCCTCCTCGCCCAATCTTTCCGGGCTCATCCGCCGCTCCATGTCCTGTCCGCGCTCCATATCCTCTCTGACTGCGCAATCACCTACCAGTGAGACCAGGCGGCCAAAAACAGCCACTCACATGCCTAATGCATCGCCTGCGACAGCTCAAACTGCAGCCACCATGATGCAGATGACCTCGATTCGACCCCACACAGCATGTCGCTCCCATTCGCTCAGTAGAAACAGTTCTACAAACAGAGTTCCACACAGCAGCAGTCTAGGTGCCATTCATCCCAATACGGCAAGTATCGGATTTCTCTCAATCACATGCAGGGAATATTCACAAATGACCATACTACTCATTCTGTTTATGCAGTATGTGTACTGCATTTCCATATGCATTGATTACCCTGTCAAAAGATTGCATTTGTCTGAATTTGCAGTACAATGTGGAATTAAGTGTCCCGCAAAGCAATAACCTGACCTTTGATTTCCAGTTTGATGAATGAACAGGAAGTTCCAGTTCCAGCTTAAATTACACCCCAAGAAATCAGAAAATAGGGAAATATAAAGTAAATTGTGCGTAATGAAAATTAGATTTAGAGTTTTTAGATTTTTGCATTGTTATTGCAATTATTATAGTGCTTCTTGCCATTAATATATGCACATTTAAATAAAAATATTTCAGAAATAAGAATTCTAATCAGAATCACCACTGAGAATACAATTACTTCACAATTACCAATTCATTTTCTTGTTTTGATTTTGGGGAAAATTTTTTTTTTTTTTCTTTCTTTTTTTTTTTTTACTCATCAACTTCTCTTTCACATGGTCATATGTTTTCAGCATGTCAATATATGATTGGACCGAGCAAAGTAAAGAGATTTTTACATAAAATTGGCAGAATAACAATTTTTCCCCCACCAAAATGGTTTCTATAAAGCAAAAGGCTATATAGTTTTTTTAATGGGAAGTTCCAGCTTAAATTACACCCCAAGAAATCAGAAAATAGGGAAATATAAAGTAAATTGTGCGTAATGAAAATTAGATTTAGAGTTTTTAGATTTTTGCATTGTCATTGCAATTATTATAGTGCTTCTTGCCATTAATATATGCACATTTAAATAAAAATATTTCAGAAATAAGAATTCTAATCAGAATCACCACTGAGAATACAATTACTTCACAATTACCAATTCATTTTCTTGTTTTGATTTTGGGGAAAAATGTATTTATTTTTTTCTTTCTTTTTTTTTTTTTACTCATCAACTTCTCTTTCACATGGTCATATGTTTTCAGCATGTCAATATATGATTGGACCGAGCAAAGTAAAGAGATTTTTACATAAAATTGGCAGAATAACAATTTTTCCCCCACCAAAATGGTTTCTATAAAGCAAAAGGCTATATAGTTTTTTTAATGGGAAATAAGTGGAAACTAGTCATTTTGGACACTGCTATAGACACTACTGCGGGGTGTCTGTGCAGCATAGCGTAAGCATTGCCAGAGCACAGTGCACGAGTGCTGAATGGAGTTCTCTTTCGCATCGCCTTGCACCTTGAGTGCTTTTCGCGTCTTCTAATGCTTTTAAATTGATTGAATGTTTAAATTGGTAAAGCTTTAAAAACATGTGCAAATTATAAACTTTCATGAGGACACAGCAGTGCCCCGATTGGGCCAGTGACAAATCTGTCTACTGTCCTGAGTGTTTTTTACGCTGAACCCGGGCCATCAGGCAGGCCTTTCTCTTCGAGTCCTGATTATACTTGTATTTCATCCTGAACATAGACATACATATCTACACAGACACATCTATCTTTTTCTTTACCCTAGATGTCCTCTAGAGAATCTGAACAGATGTTCACAAAGATGGCTGATTTAGAGAAGATCTGGCAACACACCACCTGTGAAAATGACAAACATCATTTTTATTTTCCCATCGCTGTCCTGAGTCATTCTAATCCATCAAACAATAGATTCAACACACGCACAAACACATAATCACTCACACTGTGTTTTCATACTCTGATATTTTCTTCTCATTCTCCTACTCTTATAACCACTCTCGTTCTCTCACTCTCTCCGGGCACACCTTGGAGAGGAAAATCAGCCACATTGTGGAAAAAATTGGGAGTGTGAAGCTAAATTGGGCCTGTATTTATGGGCACATTCATCTCGTGAATACCAGCACTCCCCCTTGTTCAAACTCTCATTAAGGAATATTAATCAGGAAAACCAGCACACACACTTATGCTTTGTTTAATAAGACTTTAGATTGTGTTTAGCAAGACGGACTACTAAAGCTAAATGCACTTTTCAGAATAATTGTATATATGATCATCAAGTTAATAAGGCTTCATTTTCTAATAATGAAACCTGTTTAATTAGGATTTGTGCTCTTTCTATTCTTCTTATATTTGTATTTTGAGCTGTGTTTGTAGTTCTCTGATAAGACTCCATAGGCACATTCAGTCTTTAGAAAGTTTTTGCTCAGTATATGAAGCCTTGAATATGATAAATCTCAGGAAAACATATACAGTAATCATCAAAAGTTACAGATTCTTTAGAATAATAGTAAAAACATTCAAAACTTTGAATTTATTTATTTATTTTTTTCAAATTTAAAAAAAGCAACCAGCTTCATTAGAAACATCCTAGGATGATTTTAAAGTTCCTACAGTATGTACTGTATGCTGGGCAACTGGCTGTTTTTCCTAAACTAGCCAGTCCAACTTGGCTTTTTAATATAATATATATATAAATTATTGGAAGGCACAATTTATAGTAGGGCTGCCCTCGCCTAAAGATTTTTCTGGTCGACTAGTAGTCGTTCATTTTAAGCATTGGTCGACTAATTGCAATTTTATTTATAAATAATTTAAATCATGCTAATGAGCCTTTAATTGCCTACATAGCCTAATAAGCGCTCAAGTGCATGCATAAAGCTTGCCACAGCACACCGGCAGAAGTAATGATGATGAATGTGTCAGGGAAAAACAGTCAGATTAAACTGCATTAACATTGTAATAATCTATTGATAAACTAGTGTTTTCGGTTTAAGAGATGAATTCGGCGACACTGACTCATCATCTCCACAGTAGTGGATGCACCTGCATGCAAGTTTCATACGGATTACATAATCTGAGAGTATTTGTTTTTTCAGATTTGAATTGTTTCATTTGAAAGTAGACATTTCACTCAGTAACACTTTATTTTGATAGTCCACTATAGACATTTTACTAACAGTAAGTAACTTTGCAACTACATGTCAACTAGCAGTCATTAGAGTATTAGTAGACTGTCTGCTTAATATCTTCTAACACTTTATTTTGATGGGTCAACAACATACAACATACTGACTATCAGAAACTTTGCAAGTATATGTCAACTTATTCTACTAACCCTAATCCTACCCTGTCTACTCTTGAGAGTTAGTAGACATGTAGTTGCAAATTAATTAGAATTTGTTGACATGTCATTGACATGCAGTTACAAAGTTACTTATAGTTAGTAGAATGTCTAAAATGGACTATCGAAATAAAGTGTAACCTTTCACTCTCTTTAGATATGTTTTTCATGTCTGTAAGGCAAGTATACACGGAGTTTCATGCTCACGTTCACAGAGACCGAGACGGCAGAAAGTGCATCCTGTTTACTTTCATTATTTTACAAAACGCAATGTTTTGTTGTTATTGTGAGTGCACACAAATAAACGTAGAGGCTTTACAGATTCGAAAGATGTATTACTCTTATCCGTATAACCAAAATGACGGAGTATATTAAGAGCAAGTATCTGCTATTAGGGGGCAGCCCTAATTTACAGATCCAGCCCTTGCTGCAAAAAGGACATCACAACTACGATCGGGCATCTTCGGGGGCCTTCTCGGCGAGAAGAACACCACTCAACGAACAGTTCCACTTCAAAGCGTAGGCGTGTCTCGTAGACGGTGCTCTTGCTGAAGTGAGGGTGTCAAATACCTCTGTCTCGTAGACGGTGCTCTTGCTGAAGTGATGGTGTCAACTACCTCTTGGGGTAGGCCACTCAGAACCTCCGCGTCCCGTCCAGGGACCGGACGTGAAGTTTTCAGAGGTCTGGACACGGGTGCCAAAGGGTGCCCCATCTCTTGAGTCAGTAAATCCTTCCTCAGAGGAATCGGCCAAGGAGGGGCTGTCGCGAGGAGCATTAGTTCAGGGAACCAGGTCCGGGAAGGCCAATAGGGTGCCACCAGCAGGACCTGCTCCTCGTCCTCCCTGACCTTGCACAGCAACTGTGCCAGAAGGCTCACTGGGGGAAATGCATACTAGTGTTCCCTCGGTCAGGGCGAAGAACAACTGGCAGTGAGAGGTTTCTGGAGAGGCAAACAGGTTTACCTGAGCGGCTCCAAAACGTCCCCAAACCAGCTGGACCGTCTGGGGATGGAGTCGCTATTCTCCCGGGAGCGCAGCTCGGGACAGCTCTGTCGGCTGCCCGGTTGAGCAGCCCAGGAATGTGTAGTGGACATCGCACGACCCAGAGACCGTGCCGTAACCTTCGTCGCTCGTGTCGCGAGGTCCGCCGTGGTGCGGAGTTCTCTAACTTCCGGGTCGTGACCACCCTCGTGCAAGTCCCTCAGTGCCTTGGCCTGGTGCACTTGCAATCACGCCATAGCATGTAAGGTGGAGGCAGCTTCTCCACAGGTCGTGTAGGCATCGCTGGCCAGTCAAGTACCTACAGACCCGGGAGGGGAGGCATGGTTCTCCCTGCCGGTTGGAGGCGGTATTGGAGCAGGACACAGCTGCATCGCAACCGACCGCTCCACCGGGGGGACCCTTGTAACCCCCTAGCTGACCCACCATCGAGGGAGGAGGATCCAGCAAATCAGTTTCCGGCAGTAAAAAGGTGCCGTCCACGACCTGTTGAGCTCCTCATGCACCTCCGGGAAGAAAGGTGACCGACTGAAAGGGAACTGCAATAAATGTAATTTTTGCATGACCATTTGCTCTATTAGCAAAAGAAAATATCTAATATAGCATTTCTATGACTTTACAAAAGAGGAAAAAATAGAGAGAGATTGATTACGTTGATCAGAGGAGAGAAAGATGTCAAATTTGCTGTCACTCCCTCAGCTGTTGTATTAGAATCACAGTTTTATGTTTTTTAATGCGAAGGTAATATAACACAAAGTACAGTTATAAATGTACTGTACATTTTTTTTTCCAAAATGAAAGTATAAAAAATCTTTGCTAGAATTGTGATGCTAATAATTGTGGAAACTAATCATCACAGTCTGAGAAAATTGTTCATTACCCTTCACATACCCTTCGGTATGTTAAGCCACTACATTTATCTTGGCATGCACGTATTATCTAGTGAACAAATTATGCAACAACTTTCGACAGTATATCCTATATTGCATATACATTACAGTATGAGAGTAACATGGCTGTACCAACATATTATTAAATTAAAAAGCTAAAGGATGGGAATATTTTGCACCACGTTATATAATGACAGCCATAAAGACACAACTGAAAATGAAACAGGCAGAAAAAATTATGAAGGTAAGGATGCATCTTACCAATATAGTGCATAGTTAGGGGGTTGGCCAACAGATAAAGTTCACATTGCACTTGGCAATCAATCAATCAATCAATCAATCAGTCAGTCAGTCAGTCAGTCAGTCAGTCAATCAATCAACAAATAAACCCGCCTACAGACTGTTGAATGGTCCGTGTGTTTTACAGCTTTCTACAATATGTACAATATTTGTAAATAAAAATTATTTGTCAACATCAGATAAATTGCTTACAAATAAACCCGCCTACAGACTGTTGAATGGTCCGTGTGTTTTACAGCTTTCTACAATATGTACAGTATTTGTAAATAAAAATTATTTGTCAACATCAGATAAATTGCTTATTGTATTCAGCTGAAGACTTTAAGGTAACACTTCATTTTGATAGACCACTTCAGACATTCTACTGACTATAAGTAGCTTTGCAAGTACATGTCAGCTTATTCTACTAACCCTAACCATAACTTAACAGTCTACTAATACTCTAATGAGAGTTAGTTGACATGTATTTGCAAAGTTGCAGTAGAATGCTGTAGCCACTAAATAATACATTTTTAAAAAGCCTGGCAATGTACAAAAAGAAGAGCACAACAAAGACTAACTGAAATAGCTATAGACTAGTTTTATTTGCTGTATCTAACAATACATATAAAGCAAGACTGATTAAAAAGGCATTACAAACTTTAAACCAGGAAGTAACAATTTTCTACAGTCTAACAGGAAGAAAAATAACAAATTGCAGTGATAAGTGCATTTGTTAAGCATTCAACCCTCTATCACTGTTAGTTATTGTAAATATAATGTGGTCAAACAAATATTTATATTGAATTTATGGAATCAACGTAAACTCAGCACGCCTGAAACGACGATAGGTGCATGGGAACAAAATCAAACAAACAGTTGAATCAAAAATAAGTAACGAACCCGCACACTATCAATACTTGCTAATTCTTAAACTTTATCACGTGATATAAATGATATAAATGATATCATTTATCAGTGATAAATAAAGTTTAAGAATCATATACTATTTAGTTTGAGCTTCTGAGATTGATGATCAACATTTTGAAGGTTAAGTATCTTGTTTCACTGACACTTTGGAGAAAAAAAAAAAAAAATAATTTTTAAATAAACGTAAATGTTTGTAATTAATATTTTTAATGTTTTTGGTTTAATTCACTGTCTAAATGAATTCCTTCTGAGATTGATGATCAACATTTTGAAGGTTAAGTATCTTGTTTCACTGACACTTTGGAGAAAAAAATAAATAAATAATTTTTAAATAAACGTAAATGTTTGTAATTAATATTTTTAATGTTTTTGGTTTAATTCACTGTCTAAATGAATTATTAATGATAAGGAAGATAAATGATAAATATGACCATATTTATGCCGTCATCTCACACTCAAAACATGGACATAGTTCATCTACTCATTTTAGTGGCGTGTTCGAGAATGTATTCACTAGAAGCGGCGTTTACTGGTGCTTGTTGTGCCACCGGGATTCAGTGAGGAGAGTGAGCATATTTTATTGATAATGTAAATTATGTAAATATATTCAAACATTCAGAACAATGTTCCAAAATGTTAAAAAATGTATATGTGGGGAGAGAACCAATGTGAATGGACTGATCTCATTCAAGGTGCTTGTGTTTGTAAAATAAAACAAAGATGCCTGCAGTAAAGATATAGATAGATAGATAGATAGATATGCATATTATAATAATAAAATGAATGTCATTTGCCCCTTTAGATTCTGAACAACTGGAAATACCATAAACCAAAAGTGGCGTCTTACTGGCTGGTGAAGTTAGATGCCACCAAACAAAGGAAGGTGAGTGGACTAAATATGCATGAAGTTATGCAAGGTGAAAAAGTAAACACTCAATTACTTTTTGATAAGTTGGAGATTTTCAGCTGAGTCTCAGGTGACCAAACTGGATGGTGGATGAAAAAAAAAGAATGGAGGTCTTAAAAAATGTCATTTGGATCTGCCTTAACAGAACACATGATGCAACACATTGAAACAGTTCAAAGGCACTCAATTTCAGTGCTATTACAGTAGTGAACGACAGGTGGTTACAGCAGGTTACAGGTGTTTTGATTTGACGCAGTAGGGTGGACGTTGTAGGGTGGGCATGGCAGACTGATATAATGAGGGATTGTCTCATTCCAAAAGCTGATTATCAGCCGAAGTTTGAGGGATCAATCAGAATAGAGTTAACATGTCTCATATGAGGCCATTAAATCAGACATATTGTTGAAAGTCACATCACAGATGTCGACGAGCAGAATAACTGAGGGAGCTGAAGGGGGAAGAGGAAGATCGCTGAGACTCATGCCATTACTCTTCTTCTGAATTTTACTGTTCACAATCCATACCCCTCCAGTATCTTTGGGAAGTCTGATTCAGTTTAGCAAATTGGTTCGTTAGGACAATTCATTTCAATGAATGATTCACTAATTCATTTCAAAGAAGTTTCTGCAAAATACAGTAAACATTTATTTAAACTATGTTACTGTATTTATAACTATATGTTTTATTCCATTATATACAGTACATTAGTGGGATCCATAGTTTTGCTGTATTTAATATACATTTCTGGTTTTAATGTTGATTCTGTCTCTGTGAGGTCTTCTATTTGAAGTACAATTTTGAAGTTTTCGATTTTTTAATTTCCCCAACATTATGTAATCTGCCTATTTGTGACCTCTTTTAGATACTTTTATTTATCTGATTATTTCAGGTTTTGGATATTGTTCGTACCAACATCCACTGGATGCTGCAGAGGATTTGGAGTGAACCGGATGTGGAGAGTTTACGTCTTTTTTGCCTTTTGAACCGCGTGTTTAACCGTCTGCTCTGGAGTCATGGTCAGGGGCTCTGGAACTGTCTCTCCAGCTCTGGGTAAGATACTTTAATTCTGCCTTAAAAGTGAACATGAAAAGTCTCGGTTACGTACGTAACTTTCTATTCTATTTTAATTCTACTTTATCTATTTATCTTCTTTTTTATTTCAAAAAACAAAAAACCGCCAGCTTTCTATTTTTTCTATTCTATCTACTTGTTTTTATTTGTGTGTGTGTATATATATATATATATATATATAGGTACCTTGCTATGTGTACTGCGTTAGGCTAACCGAGACTTGTCATTTGCACTTACATATTGTTGCTCTTTTGTTAGTATTGATTGCTTCTATTGTCCTCATTTGTAAGTCACTTTGGATAAAAGTGTTTGCTAAATGACTAAATGTAAATGTATGTGTAACGTAGTTTGTAGGTCGGGAAGAAGGAGGCGGGAACCGGCGAGGTTTTCGCTGAGGAGCCGAGCCAGTAACCCGGCCACTCAGCGATGGTACAGCAGCCGTGGCAAAGGGACGTGACGTCTCCATTCCCTCCTTCAGGGAACGAGGGTTACATACGTAACCGAGACGTTCCCTTTCAGTCGGTCACTCTGAGTCACATTGTGACCAACAAATTGGCATTCCTATCAAAGTGCCATGGATGCTGCTCCTTCCAGTGTCCTGTGCAAGCCTCCTGCACCCCCTTTTTGGTGTAGGCCGGGGCTCGCAACAAGAAGACTAGTCACTGTTGTCGTAGCACTACCCACTCAGTGAGATTGGATAACACTGGGAAAACGTACCCGTTCCACTTGGAACAGGAGCGTTGCGGAAGCCCCATCCTTCCCAAAGGAGGTTTCGGAAGCACGCTCTGTTCCCACGGCTCTCGGCCCCGCCCCTCTCGTCACAGTATGTAACCCTCGTTCCCTGAAGGAGGGAATGAAGACGTCACGTTGTGACTGACGCATTGGGATTTCGCTTCGAGAGACCAATCTACTTTGAGTGTAAACTAAACAAGCCAATGGACATTGGCATGTGATGATTGCATCCAGATGCCGCTGATCACAGCGTGAGCATAAAAAGGTAGCAGGTGCAACGCATACGAGGTTTTCGCTGAGGAGCCGAGCCAGTAACCCGGCCACTCAGCGATGGTACAGCAGCCGTGGCAAAGGGACGTGACGTCTCCATTCCCTCCTTCAGGGAACGAGGGTTACATACGTAACCGAGACGTTCCCTTTCAGTCGGTCACTCTGAGTCACATTGTGACCAACAAATTGGCATTCCTATCAAAGTGCCATGGATGCTGCTCCTTCCAGTGTCCTGTGCAAGCCTCCTGCACCCCCTTTTTGGTGTAGGCCGGGGCTCGCAACAAGAAGACTAGTCACTGTTGTCGTAGCACTACCCACTCAGTGAGATTGGATAACACTGGGAAAACGTACCCGTTCCACTTGGAACAGGAGCGTTGCGGAAGCCCCATCCTTCCCAAAGGAGGTTTCGGAAGCACCGGAAGTACACATATGAACAACCATTTAGGTGCATATGGAAGATTAGAGGTGATTGTATCCCTCTTGGAAATGGCAGAAGTCTGCCGGGGAAACACGGGCTCTGAGGCTATACTGTGGACTTTACACATATGGGATCCACTTAGGTCCCTACATATGGAACCCAGCCCTCTACTGGTTCTCACGGATTCATTGAGTGAAGGCCTGGTGCCGGATGTTCCGCCACGTCTGGCTGCCGAGGGGATGGAGTAGCTCGACAGGGTCTACAGTACGGACTCTCTGGAGAGGTTTTAGCAAGCCAACACTAAACCGGGGCCTCTCAATGCTTCTACGCGTTTGAGGTGAGAACACAGGAGGATACCGGCTCCACACAAAGGCTATAGAATCTAGCGAACGTGTTGGGGGTCACCCAACCCTCAGCTCTACAAATATCTGTCAGCGAGGTGCCACAAGCCAGCGCCCAGGAGGATGCAACTCTTCTAGTAGAGTGAGCTCGCAACCTGAACAGGCAGGGCACAACCTGTGCCTGATAAGCCAGGGTGATGGCATCCACTATCCAGTGGGCCATCCTCTGCTTAGAGACAACCTTCCCCTTCTGCCGGCCTCCATAACAGACAAAGAGCTGGTCTGAGGTCCTAAAGCTTTGTGTCTGGTCTACGCACCATCTCAAGGCTCGGACGGGACAAAGCAAAGCTAGGGCTGGGTCTGCCTCCTCCGGGTGCAGCGCTTGCAGGCTCACCACCTGATCCCTGAAGGGAGTAGTGGGAACCTTGGGCACATAGCTGTACCGGGGGCCTCAGGATTACCTGGGAGTCAGCCGGCCCAAACTCTAGGCAGGAATCGTCGACCGAAAATGTGTGCAGGTCCCCTACCTTCTTGATGGAGGCCAGTGCAAGCAGGAGCAGAGTTTTGATAGAAACTTCAGCTCAACTGACTGCAAAGGCTCAAATGGACCCTGCTGTAGTATATAAGAGGATATAGAGGGTGTTCGGGGAGGATTTAACCTTCTCGACCCCCTAAGAAACCTGATGACCAGGTCATGCTTCCCAACATGCCCTGATCAGGCATCTCTGGAGGTCTTCTCGGCGAGAAGAACACCACTTGATGAACAGGCTCCACTTCAAGGCGTAAGCGTGTCTCATACGGGATGCACCCGAAGATGTGTTTCTGCGTCAACATATCTTGAACGGTAACCGGTGAAGTGCCTAGTTCAAGACGCACAGGTCCAAGATTGGTCGTAACCCACCGCCTTTCTTGGGTACAATGAAGTAGGGGCTGTAAAACCCCGTTTTCATATCGACTGGAGGGACCGACTCTATCGCATCCTTCGCCAGTAGGACTGCGATCTCTGCACGCAAGACAGGAGCATCAGCTGCCTTCACTGCTGTGAAGCAGATGCCACTGAACTTGGGGGGACGCCGGGCGAACTGAATCGCATAGCCGAGGCTGATAGTCTGCAGAAGCCAGCGAGACAGGCTGGGTAGCGCTAGCCAGGCACCCAGATACCGTGCAAGCATAACCAGCGGGACCATTTGGTACCCGCAGTGGGGCAGCGAGGTGGAACACAGGGACCCAAATCGGGCGGCTCGTGGGGCTCGCGGCTCGCAACACTTACCTGGTTCCACGGTTGGGCAGAGGGTGTGTGAGTAGGGCCTTTGTTGACACTCTCGAACTGCCCGCTGGCGATGGAGGATGAGTGTGGTCTGGTGTTGGTCTGTTCGCAACTCTCCGTGCCCTCTTGGGACCCAGAGATAGAGAAAACTGCTCTCTCGTTGAGATTTTTGGAAACCAGATTCTCCATCCGGCCCTACTCCGGGGGAGGGAGAGGTGCATTCACCATCCCCCAAAGAGCAGTTCCCTCCCTCTCTGGGTCGCCCGTCCCGGGGATTCTTGCTCTTCCGCTCACCGCCAGGGCGGCCTGCCTACACCCAGCTCCACGGTGCCGCTTGCTCGAGGCGGCTGCGGATGCGGCACGAGAGCAGGGGTGGACGAGCAGGATGGGGCGCTGCGGCCGGCGGACGGGTGGAGGCAGCAGCTGGATGTGACATATCGCCTCAGTCTGCTTCTGTGCAGCCGAGAACTACTGGGCAAAGCTCTCGACCGCGTCGCCGAAGAGGCCGGTCTGGGGCACAGGGGCATTGAGGAACCGAACTTTGTCGGCATCCCTCATGTCGGGGACGGGTGGAGGCAGCAGCTGCCCGCCAGGGCAGGATGTGACATATCGCCTCAGTCTGCTTCTGTGCAGCCGAGAACTACTGGGCAAAGCTCTCGACCGCGTCGCCGAAGAGGCCGGTCTGGGGCACAGGGGCATTGAGGAACCGAACTTTGTCGGCATCCCTCATGTCGGCCAGACACAGCCAGAGATGGCACTCCTGGACCACAAGTGTGGACATTGCACGACCCAGAGAACTTGTGGTGACCTTCGACGCTCGGAGCACGAGGTCAGTAGCGGTTTGGAGCTCTTTCAGAATTTCCGGATCATGACCACTCTCGTGCAGGTCCTTCAGTGCCTTGGCCTGATAAACCTGCAGTAACGCTATAGCGTGTAAGGCGGAGGCAGCTTCTCCGTATGAGCACCACCGTATAAGCAACACCGGACAGACCAGACGAATGCCTGAGCACTGAGAACCAGTGCGAGCCACCCCGAGAAAAAAATCATCCAACCTCGAGGGCTCGGGATGCGGTGGAGGTTTCCACTCAAGCCCTACCCTCTCTGCGGCCCGGGAAATCATAACCGACATCTCCGGATCTGATTTAGGCCTTGCCACCGAATCTTCCTCTCCAGAGAGGTCTCCCTCCGATGCAGTGAGCGACATCCGGTCGTCGGGAGGAGCACTGAAGGAAGCTCGGCTGGTTTCAAAGCGCTAGAGGAGTGATCTCTCTGAGCAATCCCAAGGGTTGGTTCCCTGAAGGGTTTGCCACCACTGTAACCCTCAGACCGCCCGTGTTACTGCCCAAATTAGTCCTCGCCTGGCTGCCCCCAGGACGAACACTAGATTGTGGCAGAGGAAACAGAGCTCCGCCCCCCTGGCGGTAATGGAGCCTGGTCCGCAGCTCCGAGATGGTCATCTTCCCGCAATGGGAACATGACTCATCCACGAATGCCACCTCAGTGTGTTTAATGCCCAGACATGTAAGGCAGCGATCGTGACCATCACCCGGCGCCAGGTAACGACCGCATCCAGAAACGCATGGGTGAAACGGCATCTTTAAAAAGACGATCTGTTGTCTTTACAAAGATGTACCCGTGTAAACACTTTCAGGGAATTTCTCTTTTAGCTGCTGAGACGCACAGGGGAGATGGCCGCTTGCAGCACAATAGGGGGTAGTGCAGCCTGAAGTGCGCAACCCATTCGACACAGGAACGACCACTGCTGAAGCCCTGTCCGCCAACACAAAAATCTCCATGTAGCGCGTTGAACTCGTCGTCACAAACGAAGATATGGCAGGAGCAGAACGATATTATCGCTCAGCTCCGAAGCAAAAAGCTGGTATGCGTTGCACCTGCTACCTTTTTATGCTCATGCTGTGATCAGCGGCAGCTGGATGCAATCATCGCATGC